ATCCAACAGAATATTCTGTTATTTTTCAAGTATTTTAGATGTACTTTTTGGATACTTTTCTGGTCATATTATGTAGGACAGATTAATTGTTCTATTTTTTTCCGTTTTCCTTCTGTTTTTTTATGTTTGGCATATGTGTGGCATGACTGATTACATGCCTTATATTCAGAAATATTTCTAGTATGCCTGATTATATTACATATAGTCTGGTATATCTAACTTATATTCTGGTATGCTTCCATTATTTTTATATGTAGTTTTACGGTATTTTTATGGTGTATATTGGGACAGGGACAGTTGACTTAGTATATCTACCTTATATTCTTTTATATTTTATGCTGGTAGAAAATATAACAGCATATATATCATTTTATGGTGTATATTTGGGACAGGGACAGTTGACTTAGTATATCTACCTTATATTCTTTTATATTTTATGCTGGTAGAAAATATACCAGCATATATACCAACATATGGACAGTGGAAATTTTTGGACATTTTTTGGTACTTTCGCATGTGTGGCATATTTTTTAGGACAGGGACAGTGGACTTAGAAAATATACCAGCATATATTTTTTATATACCAATGTTCAGTTTACTTTTCCAATGTTCAGGTGTGTAGAAATGTGATATAACTACAAGAAAAAATAACAAGTAGTCATATGAAGCAACAATCGACTTAAAAACCGTTTATACTGTACATGGCAGTGCTAAGGATTTCAGCGTATTGGATTGCGACAAGTTTTCACATTATGTCCTTTCTCATGACACTTGCTGCATCTATTTTTTGATCTATGCTCCCATCCCGACTTGAATCGTTGTTTGCGTGGTCTCCCTGGCCTGACTCTTCCATCTGGGGGATTTACCAATCTTGGTATAGACGGTACATCAAATTTGAAGGCTTGATCACCTTCTATTGGTATTACTGCCTCTTCATAAGTTGCCAACATAGAAGACGTTAAGTAGTATTCAGAACAAAATGGGACCGGATCCAGGTGGAGTGACTTGATCACACGTATAGCGTGCGGGCACGGCAGCTCATCAACTTGAAAATGGTGGCATGTGCAAGTCTTGGATTCAATGTCTACTATAAATGCCTTACCATCAGACATCACTTTATACACTCTGTCATTGGCTTTTTGTACCTGTTCCACATATTAGTATATATATAGTATATTTTTCGGTGTATAACATGAATATTACACAATAACACAACAAAAAAGGATAAAATAAGAAGAACACCACAAACAATACAAATGTAATGTATGTTATATGTGTTGCATGCTATTATATTTATAGTATATAATCAGGCGGAGTTCAACATGTGTACATGCTATACATATTAGTATATGCATAATATGTAATCAGGACACTTGTCAGTATATGTATAGTATATAACCAGTTATAATCCATTAATAAAAATAAGGAATATAAATAACAACTCACTGAATATCTTGTTGCAATTTGGTAATTCGTTTCCAACCACCTATGTGGCTTCTTTGCAAGAGGAGTAAAAGTGGCCTTCGCTTCATCTCTGTTTGCCACATTCCACCTTTGTTGCATATCTCTAAGCGCCTCTAGAGTGGTGTTATCGGTAGATCACAGACGGATCGTATGGCAGCATTTATTGACTCAGCAGCGTTGGATGTCATGGTAAAATATCTATTATGGTTGCAGTGAACCCTTGCCCACTTGTGAAATCCAATTTCTTCAAGATATGGTACCACATTTGGATTCAGTTTATTTATCTGTGCTATATGCTTGTCGAACTCCTCTACAGTATAGGCCCTTGCAGCTGCATAAAACTCCTCCTTCACTGCTTGTGCTTCTGTCTTATAACGCATCTTCAATTTGTTTGAGATGTGATAGGTGCACAGACAATGCGCCGCATTAGGGAATACCTATATGAATAAATTATAACATTTTTTTCAGATATATGCAAATCAAATAAAAATATTCCTTTTTTGGATTACGAACATATGAAGCGAAAGTATATTACATAGGAATACAACGTAACTGTTATTGCACATATACTACTAGCTGGAGAAGATATCATATGTCATATAAAACAATATCCAAAAAAAACATAGAAAACAATACCCTTCTGTGACTAAAAATATACTAAATCCTGGGGAACATATTATAGTTCAGTGGAAGAAAATTTTTTTGGAGAAGATACACTCAACTTTTGCTAATAATATACTATTCACCTGTAATTATATGTCACAGCAAAAATACCCAACTGTTTCTAAGAATATACTACTTGCTGGTGAACACATTATATTTCAGATGAAAAAAAATAAAAAAAAAGGGCTGGAGAAGTTTTACTACTACCTTTTCTACAGCGTGCCTTATGCTTTCGTGACCATCTGAGACAATGCAAATACCCTCCCTATCACCAACTACTTCTCTCAGTTTTGTGAAAAACCAGCCGTAGGAGTTGTTATTTTCAGAGTCAACCACGCAAAATGCAAGTGGTAATATATGAGAATTTGCATCTTGACACGAGGTTGTCAATAAAATTCCCCCGTACACCGACGTCAAAAATGTCCCATCGACAATAACAATCGGCCGACAATGTATCCATCCTTTAATAGATGCACCGAGTGCCATGAAAACGTACATGAAATTCTTATCACATGTGGTGCGCATCATCACAATGCTACCCGGGTTTGATGCACGTACCTTACTAAGATATTGATGAGCATAATCGTATGACTCACCAACCTTGCCGCGGACTTCGTCAACAGCTTTGCGTTTCGACCTCCATGCTTTGTGATATGTCAAGTTTATCCCAAACTGATTTTGCATGTCGTCAATGATATCACCCGGATTATATGCAGTTTTATTGTTAGTGAATTTTGTCTTGATGAAACTACTAACAAGGGTTGATGTCGCCTGTCTCTGACTACTAGTACGGACATCCAAACCACATATATGTTCAGTCCCCACGTCTCTTACCTTGAAAGTGTTTGACCGACCCATACGGGAAGCTTTCACAAACCATGTACAATCGCTCGAGACACACCTGACATAATATTAAAAGTGTTAAATATAACAAAATATAATTTAAATATAACAGAACATAAAGTCAGATATACCAGGATATATGTTAGATATATGTTAAATATAACAGAATATATGTTAGATATATCAGGATGCTAATCAATCGTCACACCTGACATAATATTGTTTGGAGCATGACTTGTCAACCTTGAATTGATACTGATGCTTTATAGCATGCATGGTCAACATCGTTTGTAACGTTTCCTTATCCTTTACTAAAAGACCAGCAACAATACCAGAGTCAAAATTTTCCTCGCCTGTCAACCGTAGTTCAGTACCATGGTATATGTCCAGTATATTTTCGGTATATGCTGCCACTTCTACCATCTCTTCAGTCACGTTCCTCGCGAACGACATGAAATTTATCGTGCAATCTGACTTATTAGGTTGCCTGTCAAGCTCCGGATAACAAAGTGGAGCAATGTTTGACTCGCCATTAGACGAACCTATATTCACTTCTTCATCAAACGAATTTTCAACACTACTCCGAGATTTCACCACAACGCACACCGGATATTTCGTGTAGTCAGATTCTTTGGACACCAAAAACACATAGAAGCTAAGGCTGCTATCGCTGTTTATCGACATTAGTGGACTACCTTCCTTTAGCTTATATTTCAGATCAAGCACAGATGATTGACGAATCAACCCGAGCTCCTCACACAATATACCGCATAATTCGTTGAAGCTCCCTTCTTTTCGAATCAAAACACCAGATAGTTGGTAATTCACGTAATCATTCATCACCCATTCACCCCTTTTTTTTTTTTTTTGTTTTATCTGGATGAATACCGTCGGAAATTTGTCTCGCCGGCGTGTGTTTCTTTATTTTCTCCCATCCGTACTCCGGCCCTCAACATGGAAATTATGTAACTGATTTCCTCGGAAATCAAAGGGATAGAAATTTCCGCTTGAGAGCTAAAATTAAGGGCTACAAATATGGTATGTTTGTTTTTTGGGTGTAACTGATTTTAGGCAATACTTTAATTACTTTTTGTTTTTTAGGTACATACACAATTAAATTGGTAGGAGTGGTAAAGATACAAATTTTTTAAAAACGTGTAGTATAGGTGAAAATCTCCCAAAATTTAAATTAACCCTTCTACTTCAAGGAGCAAAGGGATTGGGCCTACCTCAATCGTGGTGGAACAGGGTGGAAGGGTGGGCTTTGTTTCCATTTTTTAATATAAATGGGCCTAAAAACATGGGCTTGGGGAAGTCTTTTATAACATATATGTATAATTTCAGTTTTTGGTTCGATTCGGTTAAACGAGCATATATATCCAAATCGAACCGAAAACCAAAATTTTTAAAAAATATGAACCGAAAATCGAGCCAAAATTTCGGTTATAATTTCGGTCCAACCCGAAATTTTAATTTCGGTCGGTTAGGGGGTGATTGTTTATGCATTGTACAGTACAAAAACTAATTCAAACTCAAATTTAACACAACTTTAACTCAACTCCATTATTTTCAATATTATTAATATAATAAAATAATATCAACCAATTATTTTTACACATCACATCAACTTTAATTTACTATTCATCCACTCACATAATTTTAACTAACTATCACTTCCAATCATTTTCTCTTACTTTTACATCAAATCAACTTTAATTATTTTATTTTAAATAATATTTTAATATATCCACTGACAACTAATCATACTACTTTTTTTTCAAACTTAATTATAATTAAAAAAAAACTCAATTTTTATTAGTTGAATGCATATCCCCTTAATCTACCTCCACGCGTAAGAGATGATATCAAACCAAACACGAGTCATCGAAATTAGAAAAATATAATTAAAATGGATTATTTCTCGAAAGTGGAAAAGTCTTGTCGGTGGACAAAAACTTTAATTAATAATATTACATTAGATGGAGTATATAATAAAGAAACAACAAGTATTTCTAATATTATCCCATCTTTCATTTAATTATTACCGTCAGTCAACTCATAGATTCAAAATTTCTTGTCCTCGTCTAAATTAATTCTACAAAAGACAAATTTTCAAAGAAACACTTTTCATCCCAACCCAAACATCCGTTGCTCAGCTGCGCTAAAATTTCATCGAACAAATTACACACATGGCTGAGAATTTGTACACAAGTGTTCAAGAGCTGGTTGAAAATGGCGATGAGCTGCCCGCCGAGCGGTATATCTGGCGAGACAGTCATAGCAGTGATTTATATGATGGGCCCCTCGATCCCAATCCCCCCTTAACCGCCCAAATCCCAGTTATTGATGTTTCCCAGTTGTGTTCCTCGTCATCCGCCATGGATGCTCAGCTTCGATCTGCTCTCGCGTCTTGGGGTTGCTTCCAGGTTTTCTTTTCCCATCATTTTTAATGTGTGTGTATCGTAAGATGATTAATCTTGTGTTCCTGATTTAGATTGTGTGTCTCTCTGTGTGTGTTTGAAGACAAAAACACTTAATTGAAGCCTTGTTGACTAGGTTGTTAGGCTCAAGCTGCTTGAACTATGTTTATTGAGGTTGAGGCTGACTGTAGTAATAATAATACTTGAAGAAATAATGATAACAATAATCATAATGATAATAGTAATGATATGGTCTGTTGTATCACATTCTTATAGTTTTGAGAATTTTAATTTTAGTATCATGTCTGTTTTTGGTAAGCATTGTAGTTAATAGTTGTCAGCATTCTTAGGCAAAATTTAAAAAATGGTCCACTATGTTGGCAAAAAAGGTTCATGGACATCTAATGATCCATTAAGTTGCCAATTTAATCAAAATTCGTACAATAACCAACATAATGTACTAAAATGATCATTTTTAGTTGCCATTTTTAGGGCTAAATTTCTTTTTGAGTACACTATGTTGGCCATTTTCGGAAAATGGTCCATCATGTAGGGCATCTTCAAGAATGCTCCACTAAGTTGTCATTTTAATCAAAACTCGTACAAAAGCCAACATAGTGTACTAAATATGGCAACTTTAACTAAAAATGATCATTTTTAGTACACTATGTTGGTTATTGTACGAATTTTGATTAAATTGGCAACTTAGTGGACCATTCTTAATGACGCTCTAGATAATGGACCTTTTTCAAAAAATTGCCAACATAGTAGACCATTTTTGAAATTTTGCCCCATTTTTAGTACACTATGTTGGCTTTTGTACGAGTTTTGATTAAAATGACAACTTAGTGGACCATTCTTGAAGAGCCCCTATATGATTGACCATTTTCAGAAAATGGCCAACATAGTGTACTAAAAATAAAATTTAGCCCAACATTCTCCAATTGAAGTTGTTACAGTTCTTTGTTAATGCGAGACGCGATATAGGCATTTTGCTTCATTAGTGAAAGTTGTGGAGGAGTATATAAAGTAACGCGAATGTGTAAGAACATAGCAAATAAAAGTGGAAGCGACTATTTAAACTAATTAGTTTTCCGGGAGCGTCCCACTACCTGTCAAAGCTCTTTCATTAGTAAATCTACCAACACTACACAGAAAATAGTTTGGGATTACAAGTTAAAGACTCCCTCATAAACCTACCAACACTACATCCGAAAATACTAAGTATTTCTATGGCCACAACATGAGTTACAAAAGCATGATTTGATTCTTCATATTGTCATAACTATCACTCAGCCCCATTAAAAACTGAATCAGCTTATTTTTTTACTCATGTTGTGCAGCTAGCTTTTCCTCTTCACAACCACACATTTGTATTGGTGCTATACAAGCATACTCATCCCAAAACTTCTTTAACTTGTCAAAGTATTCCATAACTGAGCTGTTTTCTTAGGCTAAATTTAAGATTTCTCTTTGGAGCTTATATTTCATAGGACCGTTGTGCTCCCCATACCTCTGGCATATATATTCCCACATACCCATGTAATTTTCAGCTCAAGTCANAAACTGTAACGAAACCTTGAATTTTCTTTCAGGCAGTTAATCATGGCATGGATAACTCTTTTCTGGATGAAGTTCGCAAAATTTCCAGGGAATTTTTTCACCTGCCAAAGGAAGAGAAGCAAAAATATGCAAGGGCAGGGGATGATTATGAAGGCTATGGTAATGATTTGGTCCTTTTCAAGAACCAACCTCTTGATTGGACTGATAGGTTGTATCTATTAGTAAGTCCTGAAGACCGGCGGAAACTCCAATATTGGCCTGAAAATCCAGGATCTTTCAGGTAAGTGCTTCGGATAAATATCTTAATTATTATGTGTTAAAACTCAGTTTTAACTGAACTCCTATGAAGTAAGACCACTTTGCTCATAATGTGCTTGCTGTTTGATGCTTCTAAGTCAGATTTTTCATTTTTGTTGGCTGCTGTGACTAATGTTTCTAATTTTCACACATTTCCATCATGTATGTTATTTGGTGGAGTTAGATTGTGCTACATTTGTGATAAATATCAAGCTAGAAAAAAAAATAAAAGTTATAAATCCAATTCAAATGCCCCCTGCTTTTCCATTCTGATTCAGTAAGGCAAATCTAGGGATTAAGGGGGCGATTGGATATAGATTGTATAGTAAAAAAATCAATCAAAACTCAAATTTAACTCAACTTTAACTTAACCCCACTATCTCCAATATTATCAATATAATTAAATAATATCAACCGATCATTCTTACACATCAGATCAACTTTAATTCACTATTCATCCACTCACATAATTTTAACTAACCATCACTTCCAATCATTTTCTCTTACTTTTACATCAAATCAACTTTAATTATTTTATTTTAAATATTATTTTAATATATCCACTAACAACTAACCATACCATTTTTTTTTCAAACTTAACTATAGTTTAAAAAAACCAATTTTTACTAAGTTGAATTCATATCCATTACCCCCTAAATAATAATAATAATAATAACAACAACAACAACAACAATCTAAATCACCCTTTTAAGAGGTGTCTTATAAAAATTCTGAACTATACCTTTCAATTTATTGGTTATAATCCCTGTCACTCCACTCCTACAAAACATTTTTTTTTTTTTTCAGAATCATTTCAAGGATCATCATCCAATGTGCAGGTCAATATTGAGCAAGTATATAGCAAATATGAAACAGCTTCAAGAAAAACTCCTTAAGTCAGCTGCAAGGTCACTAGGCTTATCAGAGGATGCCTTTGTGAATGTATTCGGCGAAAGAGGGACAATGTACACAAGATTCAACTACTATCCTCCATGTTCGAGGCCCGATCTCATTCTCGGGCTCAAGCCGCATGCTGATGGGTCAGGCATAACAATACTCCTTCAGGACAAAGAAGTAAAAGGCCTTCAGCTTCTAAGAGACGATAAGTGGTTTTGGGTTCCTATAATGCCGTATGCATTAGTCGTCAATGTAGGGGATCAGCTCGAGGTACATATATATATGTATATATTATTGTTAATTANTCTGCAGATAATAAGCAACGGGATATTTAAAAGCCCTGTACACAGAGCAGTTACGAACTCGGACAGCGAGAGGAATACATTGGCTGTGTTCTGCTCTCCGGATCCTGATAAAGATATCCAGCCATTTGAGGAGCTTGTCGATGAACAAAATCCGAGTCTGTTCAAGAAAGTAAGAGACTACCCCAGCACTTATTTTCACTACTATCAGCAGGGGAAAAGGCCGTTAAATGCTGTTAGAATCTAGTACTTTTTTCCAGTTTGCATGTTCTGATGAACCGAAGACTTGCTTGTGGTGTAATAAGGGTGAGGTTACCAGCAGCTGACCCTTTCAAAGACTGAAATTGGCCAAATGACCTTTTTAATTTTTAATTTTTAATTAAATGAGAATAATTTACTAAAGTTACCTATCAAATGACCTTTTTTATTTTAATTTTTTTAATGACCTTTTTATTATTAACTAAAGTTTAACAAGTACTTGAGATTTTTGTATCCTCTACAATTTTTGTACTTTTTTCCTCTTCCGGACGTGAATAGCATGATTCATGCCTCTTCTTCTTCATTATTTTTTTCTTAAGATTGATTATATAATATTTTACTGTCCTTGACATCCGAAAAATGAGAGTCAAAAGTCCTGCTTTTGGAAGACAAAGATGACTAAAGATCAACAAAGAAACAAATTTGCAATAAGTTGTTAAAATGGTAAAGATATGCGATTGAATAAATAAATTTTTAGATTTTTTTAATATCTGAACCTTATAACTTTTTCTAAGGAATCTGGCATTCTTATGGTGTTTGTGCGATCATTTTTTGTAGATACTTTGTATTGTGAATGGTTTTTATGTGATGTAAATTATGATGTATTCAATGTTAAACGATAACGATTCTTTAGTCGCTATTTTTTTATGCATAACGATAGTACTTACGTTATTGATTGCTCATTCAGTAATTATTGTTGTAATGAAACAACTATGGTTATAATGGAAAACTGTCATTTTGTTATCTCAAAATTGTTTATCAAATCAAGAAATCATATAACCATTAACTTAAACTAGTAACTCGTTACTTCCTTCGTAAAGGTAGTTTTGGGTTCGACGAAGAACGTTGGATTCTATGTGCTCGTTCGAATTTACAATCATCCCTATACGCAAAGAAAACTAGAATATAGGATGTAATTGTACCGTTTAGAACAAATTGGAGACTTATGGATGAATATTAGGTCAATGGAACCGAGATCTAGTCGTGTGACCTTTGCGTCTTCTGTTGTATTTCGATCACAAGATTTGAATATCGGGCGGGAGACAAACTATCAGTACCTTGCTCACAAACTCACTTTCGTTCGGTCTTATTCACTATTTTTCACTAATTGCAAGTATATGGTGTAGCTATTGGTAGTGGCGAGTAAGGTCGTATTTCATAGAAATTTTTGATGAATCAATTAAATACTAAAACAATAACAATAAGATATTATCTAGACAATTACAATTTCGGATGATGATTTAGCTATGAAATAAATTATTTAACGAAGAATAAAATTATCCAACAAATACCAACTCAACTGAAGTCCATGAAACAAATAATTTCTAAATAATATATTGTAGTGTAAGTTTTCCTCAAAATTAATTCATGAAATATTTTAAATTCATTCAGACCATTAATAAAATTAATTCGTGAGCTTTTCAGATTTTACCAGACTCGTTCTAGGGATTATCCCTAGATACAACGAACTACATCTTGAACCTACCTCTATCTAAGTCACTTGCCACTACTGCGAGTGAATTGTGGTATGGGTAAAAAGCCGGTCTATCACACATTCAGATTTGAGATAGTTCAGCACCTATGCTAAGGCAGGATACTGATAAGTTGACTAAGTCTTCAGACGTACGACTGTTTGTAGGCTATCCCAGAAAAACGAGTGGTGGCTTATTATGTAGTCCTAAGGATCAAAAGTTGATCGTTGGCATGAACACTACATTCTTGGAAGAAGACTATATTCTAGACCACAAGCCCATGGGTAGACTTGTCTTAGAGGAGTTAATGGGTGAGGTCGAGCATGCAATACCGAGTGCGCAAGTATATACACTAAATAATACTGCAACATGTGTCACTGAGACTGCGTCTGTGCAGGTAGTACCCCGTCCTAATGGGAAGGTTATTAGACAGCTCGACAAGTTTATGTTCCTCGGAGAGTCTTAGAACTTAATGTCGGGTGAGCTAAAACATGACCTTTGGACCTACGATAAGGCACTCCAGGATGAGGATGCAGAATCATGGCTAAGTGCGATGATCGCTGAGACGGAGTCAATTGACTCCAATCAAGTCTGAGATCTTGTAGAACCACCAAGTGGGGTACGACCCATTGGATGCAAGTGGGTCTATAAGAGAGAGAGGATCAAATGGGCAGTTGAGACCTTTAAGGCAAGGCTTGTAGCGAATGGGCATATTCAGAAAGAGGAAATTGATTATGAGGAAGCCACTTCGCCGGTAGCCATGTTCAAGTTCATTCGGATTCTCATGGTTGTTGCCGCTCATATGGATTATGAGATTCTACAGATGGATGTTAAGACGACTTTTCTCAATGGGAGTTTTCAAGAAAATATCTATATGCGGCAACCAGAGGGGTTTATAGCAAAGGGTCATGAGTATCTAGTTTGTAAGCTTAATCGATTTATTTATAGTCTAAATCAAACTTCTAGGTCTTGAAACATCCTGTTTGATGAGGTGACCCAGTCGTACGGGTTCATTCAATGTCTAGATGAACACTGCATGTACAAGAAGTGTGACAAAATGCACTGCGACTAATTCGAAGGATGTTCTATCTTCCTAGTAACTGCGTAGGTAAGAAAGGGAAAGTCGAGAGGTCTTGTCAGATCCAGACTGAATTTCCGATTTCGACTCAAGGCTCCTTTTGTTGGTCTTTCTTTTTTTTTTTTTTTTTTTTTTCTCTATAAGGGGCATGAAAAACCTCGTGGTAGTGTTTCTTGTGCTATACGTAAGTGACATCCTTCTCATTGGAAACAATATAATGGTATTGTCAGACGTAAAGGTATGGTTGTCTGAGCAGTTTGATATGAAGAATTTGGGTGAAGCGAAACACATTCTCGACATTAAGGGATTCGACACTGCGATAAGAGAATGTTGTATTTATCCCAATCTTCGTACATAGACACTGTCTTGGCTGGTTTTAGCATGCAAGACTCCAAGAGAGGGTTGCTACACTTTAGGCATGGAGTTCCACTATCCAAGGAGATGTCTCTCAAGACATCTCAAGAGATAGAGGGCATGAGAAAAGTTTCTTATGCATCGGTAGTAAGAACTCCCATGTAAGCAATGCTGTGTACGAGGCCAGATATTTGCTATGTAGTAAGCATCGTAAGCAGGTATCAAAGTAATCTAAGATAAGGCCATTAGACCATAGTGAAGCATATACTCAAGTACCTAAAGAGGACCATGGATTATATGCTGGTCTACCGTCCGGAACAATTGGTCCCTGTGGGTTACACCTATTTCGACTTCCAGTTATACCGGGATGAAAGTATATGAACCTTAGGGGTTATATTTACTCTAAAAGGTGGAGTCATTGTATAGAGGAGTATCAAGCAGAAATGCGTGGCAGACTCCATCAAGCAAAGTAGAGTTAAATTACAGCCTTTTACTTTCATGGTGTGGATGTAAACCTATATCTGGGGTTTCATTATATAATATGATGCATGATGATTTTTCAAGCCAGATTGCAGAACTCTGTGTCCTCTACTGGAGGAGTCATAAGACATTTGAAGCAAATCCCAAACTACTGGATTACTAGAGGAGTTTTAGGATATGTTTGAGGAGCCTGAAAAGAAAGCTAAATCAAGTATTTAATGTTAAGAGGGATTTATTGCAACATAGTGAAGATGGAGGTTTAAAGATCTCACATTTGGTCATCCTAGACCACCGTACCATCAAATGAAAAGGGGAGGAGGTGACTCAGGATTTGATTCAGTGGGTTACCTCATATCCAAGTCAAGCCACTCAGGAAGATGTGAAATTTCTGAAGAAAAATTCAAAGCATTTGATCCTCGGGGATAAGGATATCAAAATGGAGAAGGTATTGTTATAAACAAAAGAAAATGGGAACAGAAACAAGGTGGTGAAGGGGACGAAAGGAGGACATATGAGAAAGACGAACCAGTTTATTAGAAAATGGAGACTCGATTTGGGGAAGATTCAGATAAAGGCAAGAAGGATACTCTAGCTCAACCCTAGGTTATGTCTAGGTTGATTAGTTAGTAAAGTGGGCAGACTAATAGTTATTATCGGGCCACATATTTATCTATTGTTTAGATATTGGGTACAGTTGTTAGGTCTATTATACTGCAACATATTAAGAGGGTGCTTGGATAGAAGATATGCAACCACTTTTGACCAGTCACTTTTTTTTTTTTTTTTTAATTCAAAATTTAACTCAAACTTAACTCAATTCAATTCTCTTCAATATTATTAATATAATTAAATAATATTAATAAACCAATCTTACACATATTACATCAACTTTAATTTACTATTAATCCATAACATAATTTTAACTAATAACATTTCTTGTCACATCTCTCATACTTTTACATCGAATCAACTTTAATAATTTTATTTTGAATATTACTTCAATACAAACTAAAAATTTTACTCAAATTTAACTTGACCAACTTTTTTGAAATTGATTCTGATTAACCAACAGATTCAATTAAAACTAAAATAACATATATCCAACCACACCCTAAGCACCTACTAGGTGTTAGTGTGAGGTAAGCATGGGGCCCCACATAGTAGTTACAAAAATGGGAGTTGTGAGATAAAATTATCTATAGAATAATGTGCATGCTTGATACAATTTTTTTTTTTAAAATAAATCCAACTAGTTTAACCAATTATTTTTTTAACTCAAATTTAATTGATTAAAATCCAACTAATTTGTTTTGATTGAATTTTTTATTTGGGTTGATTAAATTTGAAAAAGTTTGTATGGTTAGTTGTTAGTGGATGTATTGAAATAATATTTAAAATAAAATGATTAAAATTAAATTGATGTAAAAGTAGGAGAGAGAAGATGTGATGTGATTGTTAGTTAAAATTATGTAAATTGATGAATAATGAATTAATGTTGATGTTGTATGTAAGAATGATTGATTGATATTATTTAATTATATTGATAATATTGATGATAGTGGACTTGAGTTAAAGTTGAGTTAAAAAAAATGGTTGAGTTAAAAATAATTCGACTTTTTGGGATGACTTTGTATCCAAGCATGTTTATAATAATTTTAACTAACCATCATTCTGCATCACTTCTCTCCTACTTTTACATCAAATCAATTTTAATTATTTTATTTTAAATATTATTTTAATATAAATTCAAAATTTTAATAACAACTAACTAAATCACTTTTTTTAAATTTAACCACACCAAACTAAAAAAATTAAAACAAAATCAAAACATCTTATATTCAAGTATCCCAAAACCCTAATAGACTATCCTCCTCTCCAACTTCTCTCTCTATTTAAGCGATTCTTATCATCTATAATCCTACATTTCTGCAGCTTCCAATTAATAACAGAAAAATAAGAAAACAAAACATAAAACAATATAGTTCACTATTTCATTGCATAATGCTTTGATACTTTTATTTGTTATTTTAAAAACTGGTACGAAAAATAAAAGAAAAAGAAAAAAAAAACGTGGCCATTTATCCGCCCAAAGATAAAAATGGTCAACATCCAAGTCGGTGCAGGCCTAGCCATCTCGTTTTGGTTTTCTTTCTGTGTCCGCCTTTATGTTGAGATGTTATTTCTTTCACAAATCCTTCTGCCTACAAATGGTAAATTTTGAGGTGAAATGGAATTCTATGACATGTATCCAATTAATTGAGTGGCTAAGTTGGATGTATAAAAAAGAGAAAAGCTTGTGTTACTTGACTTGGTATTTGTTGTGTTTTGGGTTTAATTCCCGCCAGATGGTCGACCGGCCTATTGGGAACAATCATTTCCAACCGTTTTTCAGTGTTTTCGGATGCTTCAACTGTTGAGAAGCTTGACTTAGATGTGTTCCCCTCGTCCATTTCCAGGCTTAGCTGCAGATACTACTTCATTTCACCAAATATTTCATAAAACACTATCATTTTGTGTTTATTAAAGCTGTTCATTCATTTATGGAAAGGCGCAGCCTTTAGGATATATTGTTATTCAATATATATTGTTAGGATCTTTTTTGAAATTGCAATTAAATCACGACTTTTTCACTTTTGTAAATTATATCACAAACTTCAATTTGTTGCAAATTGGTGCATCGATTTGCATATCCCGTGCAGATTATATCACAATATTCAGTTTGTTGTTCGACCACATCAGCTTTTCTATCTGTTTGCAACCAATTAAAGATTATGATATAATTTGCAAGAGTGAGAAGATCGTGAATAAATTGCAACTTCAATAAATGTCGTCATAGGGACCAATTTGCCAAAAGAAAAAGACTATTTTTCATTGTGAAAAAACCTGTAAAACACGATTCTCGAGAAGTGCGAGGCGGTGTAGGAGTGTGCCTTTGTGTTGGACTTCTTCTAAAGCTGAGGACAGAGTCTTGCACTCTTTGTTGGTATCTGCCGTGCCGAAATCATCATCTGATTCGTGTCGTCTTGAAACTCTATTATTATTAAATTTCTCTTCCAGAAGGAGGAGCTGCATAAGCACATTATATACATACATATACATATATGCTCAAAATTTCACCATCCAAATAGTAAAGTAAATAATAACCATCATACTTTTTGATTTGTTGATTTAGTTTGGTGAACAAAAAAGAAATTGCGCGAGGCAAATATGATCGGAACTCAAAGGCAAGAATTTACCACACGTTCAAGACGATCCAATCGTGCAATAACAGGCACGAAAGAAATAGTTTGTTGACCCTCCATATTATTACTATGCTTTTCTTGTCTTTGTTGGTTTTGTTTGTAAATGAGTATATGATGACGTGATTTTAGTGAGATCCAAGGGAACGGGTTATTAATGGCAACTATCGTGCCCCCATACCCTGTGTAATAATGGACGTTAATGTCAACTATCTTGTCATATAAGTATTATTCACAGGTATTATTTTATTCAATATACGCTGCAGCTTATCATATCCCCAATAATGTGGCGCGTCTTGAACTACGTAGTCAGCCTGCACTCTGAAGCCTCTCCCTTGAGTCCTAATTAATTTGTTCTTCTCAATTAATTTTTCATATATGTCCATTCATGTGGTTGTTGGTGTATTCATTTTAANAATAAGTGGATAAAAATAAATCAATAAAAAGCTGTATGGAAAAAAATAAAACAGGCGGATTCTGAGATCCGTGTTTCCTCAAAATACGGATCCGTTTTTATTTATTTATTATTTAATTTTTTTATTGTTAAAACACGGATTCTCAGAATTCGTTTTAATTTATATATTATTTTTTTTTGTTAAAACACAGATTCTCAGAATCCGTTTTTATTTATTTATTATTATTTTTTTTGGTTAAAACAAGAATTTTCAGAATCCGTTTTTATTTATTTATTATTATTTTTTTATAACACAGATTAATTGACCAAGATTGTACTAATTTGACTTCACTTGGACTACTTCGAGTTCGATTATATTATAATTGACCGACAATCGAAGTCAAATTAGTACAATCTCGGTCAATTATAGTGTAATCGAACTCGAATTAGTCTAATCGAAGTCAAATTAATACAATCTCGGTTAATTATAGTGTAATCGAACTCGAATTAGTCCAATTGAATTTAAATTGGTACAATCTCGGTCAGTTATAGTGTAATCGAACTCGAAGTAGTCCAAGTGAAGTCAAATTAGTACAATCTCGGTCAATTATAGTGTAATCGAACTCGAATTAGTCCAATCGAAGTCAAATTAGTACAATATCGGGCAATTATAGTGTAATTGAATTCCAATTAGTTCAATCGAAGTCAAATTAGTACAATCTCGGTCAATTATAGTGTAATCGAACTCGAATTAGTCCAATCAAAGTCAAATTAGTACAATCTCGGTCAATTATAGTGTAATCGAACTCGAATTAGTCCAATTGAAGTCAAATTAGTACAATCTCGGTCAATTATAGTGTAATCGAACTCGAATTAGTCCAATCGAAGTCAAATTAGTACAATATCGGTCAATTATAGTGTAATCGAACTCGAAGTAGTCCAATCGAAGTCAAATTAGTACAATCTCGGTCAATTATAGTGTAATCGAACTCGAAGTAGTCAAATCGAAGTCAAATTAGTACAATCTCGGTCATTTATAGTGTAATATAACTCGAATTAGTCCAATCGAAGTCAAATTTGTACAATCTCGGTCAATTATAGTGTAATCAAACTCGAATTAGTCCAATAGAAGTCAAATTAGTACAATATCGGTCAATTATAGTGTAATCGAACTCGAAGTAGTCCAATCGAAATCAAATTAGTACAATCTCGGTCAATTATAGTGTAATCGAACTCGAAGTAGTCAAATCGAAGTCAAATTAGTACAATCTCGGTCATTTATAGTGTAATCGAACTCGAATTAGTCCAATCGAAGTCAAATTTGTACAATCTCGGTCAATTATAGTGTAATCAAACTCGAATTAGTCCAATAGAAGTCAAATTAGTACAATCTCGGTCAATTAATCCGTGTTATAACAAAAGTAAATAAATAAAAACGGATTCTGAGAATCCATGTTTTAACAAAAAAAAAATAATAAATAAATACAAACGGATTCTAAGAATCCGTGTTTTAACAAAAAAAATAATAATAAATAAATAAAAATGAAAATCTGTTTTTAATTTTTTTTAATTAAATTCGATCTTTATCTTTTTTTAAAAAAATAATAAAAAATAAAAACAGATTATGAAAATCCAGCCGTTTGATTCTTTTCCACAATATTTTTTTTATTTTTTGCCACATTTTTTTTTTAAATAACCCACCCCTAATTCGTGATTTATCTAGTGATTTGTTTATTTATTGTTAGATTTGTAGATAATACTAGTCAATTTATGCTTGTAAGCCCAATGTATTATTTCTTTCAACTTTACTCTAGTACGCAATCCGTGCGATGTACGAATAAATATATTAAATAAAAGTCATTACTAATTATCGTCCCCCTATTACTAGTCACCGTCTCTCTTGGACGATTTTGCCCTTTTCATTTTTTCCAAACATCTCAGAGCAAAATGTAAGGCGAAATTTCTTCAAATTTCGAAGTACGATTTTTCACCGTCCGGTCGGCAATCGCGTACGGCTTTTGGACCGTCCGACCGCCGAATCTAGACGGTCCAAAAGGCGTCCGGCCGGCCGGTTCGGACGGTCCAAAAGCCGTACGCGATCGCCGGCCGGACGGTCCAAAAGGTGTCCAGCTGCGACGGCCGGTCATGACCGGTCCGTCCGGTCCGACTGGCCGGAAGGTATTTTTTTTAAGAATAATATTATTATAAATTATTATGTTATATGTTCGAAACAATTATGTTATAAATTGAACGTTAGATATTATCGTGTTAATAATTACAAATTATTATGTTACATGTTAGATTTGATTATGCTATAAATTCGACGTTGGATATTATCGTGTTAGGAGTTACAAATCATTATTTTACATGTTAGACTTGGTTATGTTATAAATTGGACGTTAGATACTATCGTGTTAGAAATTACAAATTATTATGTTACATGTTAGACTTGATTAACGTTAGATATTATCGTGTTAAGAGTTACAAATTACTATGTTACATGTTAGACTTGATTATGCTATAAATTGGACGTTATATATTTTCGTGTAATGAGTTACAAATTATTATGTTACATGTTAGAATTAATTATCTTATACATTATAATGAAGATGTTATAATGTTAGAACATAGAAATTATTATGTTATAGATTATAGTTTAACATGTTTTAAAAATATAAATATTGTACTATATTGCAGGAGTCATGGGAAGATTTTGGAGGAGATGGTATTGATTACAGTCTTGGTTTCGATACCCATTAATTATTTACTAGTGATGTGGAGGCTATTGAATCTGCAAAACAACAGGCAATTCTGAATGGTTTCCAAATAATAATTTCAAAACACACAAAGAAAGGAAGGGTGAAAGGTTTTACATTTACATTAATTAAGGGTAATAATATTTTTAATCTTATTGTATAATAGTTGCTACTACTAATACAAACTAATTATTATTTTACATTATATTGTATGGAAAGTTACATATTTTTAAAATATTCTATTGAATTTTTTTTTTAAATATTTATTCTACAATGAATACTATTTTTTTCACCTTATTAAGTGATTTTTTTTGTAACATAGTTAATTGGTTTTGGTGGCAAAATCAAATACTTTAAAATCACGTAAACAATGTTATGACAATAACAAAAATAATTTTAATATTTTTTTAATTAGTTTATTAGTTATGGCTCCTCTATATTGCAAAATCACATTTTTAATTAGATTTTTCAATATAACGATGCATATGTGAGTTAAATAATTTATACCTATAATTTTCATTTACTATTAGTAAAAAATTTAAAATGTGATACACTCATTATTTGAGTTTCATTTTCAATTAGATTTTTCAATAGAACGATTCATATGTGAGTTAAATAATTTATATTTATATTTTTTATTCATTAGTAGTAAAAAATTTAAATGTGATACATCATTATTTAAAATTTAAAATTTTATATACATAATATAGTATATAAATTTTTGTTTGCCTTTGTGCCTAGGCACATGATTGAGTACTAGTAATTAAATAATATCAATCAATTATTCTTACACATCACATCAACTTTGATTCACTATTCATCCACTCACATAATTTTAACTAATCATCACTTTACATCATCTTTCTCATACTTTTATATCATGCCAACTTTATTATTATTTTTTTAAATACTATTTAACATAAATTTAAAATTCCACTAACAACTAGTTATAACATTTTTTTTAAATTAACACTGGTTAACTAAATTCCTCAAATCCGTTTTGAGGAGAAATATTTTGTATCCAAGCATGCTCCAAGGACCTAGACCAAAGCCATGGGTTGTGCACTGTGCGAGCCAATGGATGGGTGCGCACGCGTGTGGCCTATATTTAATGAATAACGTTTGTTGTAACCTCTCCAAATTATTCTAGTTAAGATTCCTAGATGTGATAATTATTTAACCATTAGAATTCCACAATCAAATTTTAGTGTGTATTAAATGATTAACTTTAATAATTTAGTTTTCACTTCTAGAAATTTAATTTTGACAAAAATAAATATATCACGAATTTCTTCTCGAAGTGTAAAATTTTTCTTCAATAACTGATTCTATAACAAAATTATTAAACGTATATAACATTTTTTTGTAATAAATCATAATTATAATAATAGATACTTCAATTGACCATGTATCAACATCATATCATAGCTTGAGCACACAATTATTATATGAACGTAACATTTTCCACAGTGGCGGGTTTATATATCCACCAGGGGGCCATTGTCCCTCCCCCTAACCATTCTAAGTTTTAGTACATATATTACACACGTCCCCTCTATATATAATTTGAAAATGCGTTGAGCCTACGTGGCAAACTCTCATGCTTCGGACTTCTATTTGACAAAAAATCATGCTTTGGAGTTAGGCTTGGATATAAATTAATTATATTTTTATCATAATAATATATTCCTTACAAAGTTTCATGCCTTAAAATTAGGAAAATATTTATTATAATAATATATTCTTAATCCATTAATCTCGAATGTTTTGCTCCACATTTTCGAGTTTTGACCTAAGTAATCTTCAAATATATAATATTTAATTGTAGCAAACTAGCAATAAATTAACCTATTATTGTTTATGTATCTAAGTTCATGAGTACTTTTTAAACAATGCTCAATTATTAAATGTTTCAAATTCTCAAACAAGACATAGCTTTCGGAATATAAATATTTGGCATTTGAGACTTGTCGGGTATGGAAAATCAATAAAATGATATTTTTAGCAAATAAAAAAATATTATAATTAATCAGACCAGGCTCAGATTATCTTTTAACGATTTTCGATTTAACATCCATATTATATATATATAATACAAAACAGTAATAGAAATTGGTATGTATTTTTTTAAAAATAATATTTATTTCAAATCTAATTGGTATGTTGTCAATCTAATAAAAATAAATAACTATTTATCTAAATTCAAAAATTACATATAAAGTTAAAAAACTGTGAAGCACGACTGATACGACACTTGATGTATTAGGCAACTAATTAAGTAAAAATATTAATCTATTTTGCTTAATATTAAATAAACATATTCTACACTTATGCATATACATATCACCATATTATTTCTATTTAAGATATATATTTTTGCACTGTGTAATAGTAACTAATATCGATATTTTTATACGGTATGAGTAAAAAAACTAAACATGGGTTGACATTTTCATTTAATGTACGGGTGTTTAATTATTATGATTAAAAAAAATATAATTTAACAATTTAATTAAAATCCAAAGTAATGTTTTATATAAAATTAAATTATTTTAGTTTTAAAAAAAATAAAAATTTATTATTTTTTATAAAAGCTTTCTAACACCCGTGTAATACACGGGAATTGTACTAGTATATAGTTAATCTACAATTATACTCCATAAATGCATTACTTATTATCTAATTATTGCATTACTGAATCTATTTATTATTTTAAAGCTACATCATATTTGTTTTAGATACTATATTCATTACATAATATTTGTTGTTTTTAATTTTTTAGTAGTAATTTAATATAATATTTGTTGTTTTGAATTTTTTTAGTAGTAATTTAAGGTTTCATTAATTTGAATGTGATAATATAAATACTTGAGAATTCGCTGATTGAAATAAGAGAGCATGCGCGTTTTGCAATTTCACGAGCTTGGATGGAAAATTGCAAGAAATTTTACTGCCGAGTTAACTTTTAGTGAATTTTTTGAGTTGAAAGAATGTAGAACACAATTTTTATACTACCAAACTTAGTGCAACTTTATTATTTACTTTATATTTTTGAAGTAAACTTTACTTATTATATCTATATGTACTTAGTGTATTTTTATGTTATTAAATATTGTATACTACCCTCGAAATGTCATTCGAATTGAGATCAGTAAGTACCCTATATTCAAAATTGTGTTTGTCTCGTTTATTTAATAAATAAAAATATGAGGTAATACTTGACTCATCCACTCAAATTGTTTTAATAAATTCAAAACTTAAATTCATAAATCCTAATCAAGTTGTTTGCGAACACAACCATAAACTTGATCAATTGTTCAAACTCTTCTCATTGAAGTAAGTTCGGTCTCAAATTTTCAAAAATCAAACCAAGTCATATTTTTGAAATCGCTTATGATTAAATAACAGTATAGTCCTCCCAAATATTTTTTTCTGGATTTGCCACTGATTTTGCAGTAGTAAATTGAAATCATAATTAATAAATCATAATTAATAAATATTACAATGGACCCCGTATATCAATATCAGGTCATAGCTTGAGCTCAAAAATTCGAATCTGCCCTCGGAACATTCCTCAACAGGTGCCCAATCGAATGGCGGCGATCATCCGACCTGGAAAGAATATTCTTTAGTGGCATCAATACCATTCGAATTCGAATGCAAAGGGAACCNCTTATTCGCCATTTTATAGCACCCACCCTCCATTTGTCTGCTCCCATTCATCTCCTCTCTCAAAAACAAAATCTGTTGGATTTGTCCTGTGTTTCCTTTCGTCTTCAATAAGGTACAGAGGACATATCTGTATGTGTATCTTTTTTCTTTTACTTGCTTCACATCATTGAATTTCTTGCCGTCAAAATGTTGCTTTGGGCATTTTTTGGAAAATCCCTACGATTTGCCTGTTTTGGAAGGTTATTTTGAGGATGTCCTGTTGATATTTATTATACTCATCTTTTAATTTTTTTTTTTCCTTTTTTCTCGAGAAGTCCTTTTCTTTAAGCTTCTGATACCTCTGCCTCTAATTTGTTTTCCAATGTAAAAATCCCTTGTTTTTTTTTTTCGTTTTTATCTTTGGTGGTTTCTAACATTTGAGAAAAGTTGCCTTTTTTTACAGAAACTCCCATATCTATTAAGTTTCTATTGGTGAATTGTATACATAGACATGTCTCCAATAGAATCTCTAAACAAGGTGTTTGAAAGAGTTGGGGGAAATCAGAAATACATCATTGATGATGACGAAGATGGAACAATGGAGATGGAGCAAATTGGGGCTGAGAGGACAAAAAATGTCCTAATTCTCATGAGCGATACAGGTGGGGGCCACAGAGCTTCGGCTGAGGCCATTCGTGACGCATTCCAGCTCGAATATGGAGATCAGTACAGAGTAAAGATTAATTCATTTTTTGTATTATTCCATGTGGGAACACATTGATGTTAGGTTGTTATGTTACAGCTCAGAGTCTACTTGTCCTCAACATACTTTTTTTTTTTTTTAGTAATTTGAATTTGAATTCTCTCCTGATTGAATTCCAAAGAGCACATAAAAAATATTTGGTTGGTTCCATTGATTGATGAGCATGAAGACTGTGGTAATCTTGTCTTCATTACTGCAGTGGAGGTAGATTTTTCCTTTTTATTTTTTTTCATTTTTGGAGTAAAACTTTAATAATATGCAGATAATTGTGAAAGATGTGTGGAAAGAGTACACGGGTTGGCCGTTGAATGACATGGAGGGACAGTACAAATTCATGGTTAAACACGTCCAGCTTTGGAAAGTTGCATTTCACGGCACTTCCCCTAAATGGATACACTCTGCCTATCTTGCTGCAATTGCCGCTTATTATGCAAAGTTGGTGTTGCTTCTATTCCAATTCCTTAACATTTTGAATTCAAGATAAATCAATGTGTTTGTTATTGTTGTTCTGTTAAAGGGAGGTTGAGGCAGGTCTAATGGAGTACAAACCGGATATCATAATCAGCGTCCACCCTCTCATGCAGCACATCCCTTTGTGGGTCCTCAAATGGCAAGGCCTTCAGAAGAAGGTCATTTTCGTCACTGTCATCACAGACCTCAATACTTGCCACCGCACGTGGTAACATAATCATCATCATCATCTCTCACCCAAAACACTTGTGACAATATGTCCAAAATTATTAATTAATTTGTTTATTTTTTAAGGTTTCATCCATCTGTAAACCGATTGTACTGTCCCTCAGAGGAGGTTGCAAAGAGGGCTTTGCTTGACGGTGTTGACGACTCTCAAATTCGTATCTTTGGCCTCCCCATTCGCCCATCCTTCTGCCGTGCAGTATTAGTCAAGGTTGTTAATTATATACGTCTAATATTAATCTGTTATGTTACTAGCTATTTTTAAGATAAGTAAAGAAACTATGCAATTTTTTGAAATGCCATGTT